ATTTGGCCAAATTCCACCGCTTCTCTGTGCCTCATGCCTACATGTATCATGTTGCCTTTAAGAAACGTAAGAAGTCTTTGTCAAGACTTCGTGTTTGCATGTGAGGGACCAAGAGGATCCTGAAATGGTTTAAACACCAGAAGCCAGGGCTTCTCATCTACTGCTGACAGCTCACCAGACAGTAGTATGTGGAGAAGAAAAGTCTTGGGACTTCCCTGCCAGTCCAGCGGTTGAGACTCTGTGCTTCCAGTGTGGGGGTGAGGGATCACTCCCTGGTCAGGGAATAAAATTCACATGCCTCTCAGTGAGGTAAAAAAAAAGATAGATGAACAAATAAAAATTTTTAAAAAGAAAAGAAAATGTTTGGACTTCAGCAAGCAGAAGGATTCTCATCTAAAAGTTTCTAGGTATGAACATCTACACTACCAGGAAATAACAAGTATGTTGCCATGCATGTTTATTTATGAATTGTGAAATTCAATAATTTATGTAAAAGTTCAAAAGACTCTTAAATTTCCTTTGACAAATGAATAACAGGTGGTAACATATTAAGACATATTATTGAATCTGTCCCAATTTTTTTTTCAGAAGAGAGTTCCAGATTGTTCTGACTTAATAGGAAATCTCAGTTCCGTGTTCTTTCTCTTCTGAAATTTGCATTTAAAAGATTACCCAAGAAAGTATATTTTCAGAGGGTTTTGAAAACTCATGAAACAAGCACCACTTTTGTGAAAGTCTGTTCATTGTTGAATTCCTCATTAAGCCAACATCGAAGTTTTGGTGCCATACTTGTAAAACTATTTAAAAGTTTTACTTGTAAAACTTGCAAAACAATCTAAGCTTTGAAATGTATGTGGCATGTATAACGATATGTGTATGTAGGAACTGAACTTTGGGGGTAAAGTGACAAACGATGAGTTTACTGCATTTCTTTATTAAAATGAAAAATGTTTCCCCAGGAAAGAAAATATTATTTTTCAAATACAGACTGGAATCATACCTTAAAAATGTGTGTGCCACAATATTAAAGTTGGTTTGCCTCCTTAATAGAAAGTTTACTTCTAGACTAAAAAATAGCAGAGTGTTATCTTTATTGTCAAAAGTGGTCTTGTTAGTTGTTTACAAAATATTTTTGCAAGGCAACATCAACCTGTTCCTTTCCTGGTTAAGAAAGGTAACAGGGATCATATTGTTTCCTGAATGATCACATCGGCAAGGCTTGTTAGGAGACCTCTTGGATGTGGATATTATTTAATAAATCAATAGATGCTGTTGAGTCAATGAATAATCCCACACTGATGCTTCATAACTGAAACTAAGGGCAGAAACTGTCACTCTGAACTGGAAGGAGTGAGTTCTAATAATGGGAAAGGTGCAAAGAGAAAACTTGGTTATTTATTATTAAGTATATGTGAGAGCCATTTCACTGGGAAATTAGTACAATGCAAAATTAGTGTTTTTACTTTTACATGTCAAGTTTCATGTATTGTCTCAATTCCCATGTAGAAGTCAGACATTGGCTGGTTTGAACAAAGGAGTGTGTGTATGCATGTTGCTACATTGTGTTAGTGTGGGAGTGTGTGTGTGTGTGTGTGTGTGTGTGTGTTTAAACTGTGTGTGCTTTTTGTGTAAATACCCAGGTTTTAGTTTCATTTTTGTTAACATATCCAGGTGTTTTGTTTTGCTTTTTTTCCCTTTTGCAGAAACAAAAATAGCAAACAAGCCGAGGGCTAAGGTACTAATTATCAGCGTCTGCACAAAGCTCCCCAAAGCCTGTCCTCTATAACCCCTGGAAAAATTCTGACATATTATAAACTGTTTGAATTAGCGTCAATCAGTAAATAGCAAGTTGGTGCCAGCCCAATCGCAGAGCAGCGAGGTGCATGCTAAGTGCCTTGGTGCAGCGACACCCTGAGCACACAGCACATCCACTCTGCTCACCTCAGAAACATCTCCAGGTCTGCGGGGTGCAGGGCAGTGAGAAGTGGCTTGGGGGTGCGGGAAAAGCAAGTGCTCCCATCCCTGGTCTAGCGTGTGTGTGTGTGGATGCATGTGCCTGCAACCTCATAAAACACACAGATAGACATAAAGGCAGACAACCACAAGGGGTACAAGCAAAGCCATCATGTTTTATTTTTTCATATGTTTAGGAATAAGCACTTTGGACATGCATATGGTCAAGCTACAATTACTTATCATAAACAAGCATTTTTCTTGACCTATACAGGGAAATTAGGACATAAATCCATTTTCATATTTATAAAGCATCTACATTTCTCTCTTAAAAACATTTTTTTCTTTAAATTTAAACCTACTACAATGCTGGAACTTTCTCTCAGTAACAGAAACATTTGACCAATTCCATTTTTATGTCCCACAGCCTCACAAACATTTCAAATTATTTCTGATAATAGCAATTTGGTTTAAATATCTCCTGAAAGATTCAACTATGCAATAACCTATGATAGCTTTAAAAGCATTCACAAAATGTTGTTCATCCTCAGGCTGCCATTGTTTGAAACACGATGGGTGCTGGATCAGTTGCATGGCATTTTCATATGTTTAATTTGGGCCATGAACGCTGGAAGAGAAAAGAAATATTCCTAAACTCTCAGGTAAGTTTGCAGGGAGACTATTGCAGTGTTCTTGATCATATCAGACCTCTTCTTCCCTAAATATAAAAACACTTTGACACTGACAGAAACTGCTCAGATTTCTTTGTCTTTAATAAGTTAACACAATGCTGGGCAATGGGAAAAAGTTCAGAAACATGTTCACTAAATGAGAATTTACAAATGAATGGATACGAATCCCAAGTGTTAAATGAACACAATCTGTAAAAAAAAAAAAAAAGATGGGAGAATGTTTCTTAAAATAAAATTAATAAGCTCCTTTGTTAATGGAATTTTAATATTCATAAAATAAGACCTTTTCCATTTTAAAAGACTTGGGAATATGTGACTGTTGCGGAAGAGAAAGGACTCACTGGCTCTCTGGAATCCATAGGGCCTGGACATGTGTAAAGATTTGTGGTACTTAAGAGATGATGATACCAGACATATGGTTTAATCATGATGTATTTAAGCTTTTGCTTATCTGCTTAAGAATTTATTTTGCCTCTAATTCCATTCATTGTTATTCTAATTTGAGTCATAGTTTGTTTTCTTTAAAAGGAAAATTTTGTATATATTAATATAGCAAAAAATTTTTCAAAAAGCCCTGAAAAAGAGCTGAGAATGTCTGATGGACTTTGAGCACAGATTGTCCATTTTTGACACTGTGTTGACATGTGTGTCCACGGGCAGATTCTCCCAGTAATCCTTAGAGGAAGATAATGAAACGGCAGAAGGACTCTGTGATTTATATCTTGACGTTATTATGTTTGTGTCCATTCAGTTCTCTTTATTTCTCTAAAACTCTGCCTTTATCATCAGCCCTGACAAGTCCCTTATTTTTAGAATAGATTGAAGTGAGCGATAGGAACTCGGAGGAGCAGGGCTGTAAGCTGTTTCACTATATTTCTGTTGTTCTGAGCGTTAGCAGGATCTCGTTCATATATGCAAGCTCTGTAGATATGGGTGGCTACAGTCCCAGCTGGGAACAGAGGCAGAAAAGCCGTCTGGAAGTCCTATGCAGCTCCCCACAAGGGACCAGGCTCACCTCCTGAAAAAACCACGCACCTTCCAAAAAGAAGCCAAAGCTGGCTTTATTTCTAAGAGCAATGACTGTCTGCAAACAAGACAGTTCACAGGTAATCCCACAGGAAAAACAGTTTCCTCCATGGACTTCAGTCTGAACACCAGAAGCAGAGATGATACCTGAGGAGAGGACGGACTGGTGACTCTAAGAGCCGAAACATGTGAAACTGCTTACGCTCTGCTACGATCTTGCTGACCATCTCTGACCCGAAAAAATCAGCTCTTCCCTGTGGTTCAACCTAAGAGTTTAAAAATTTACATCTCAACACTGGAGGGTTTTCTAGCTCAAAAGTGCAATGTCAGATGCTCTTTACAGAGACCACCAGATTTGAGGGGATGGGACCAGGCGGGGTTCCTTGAATGTGCAGAGCTTGTGATGCTGGTTTCTGCCTCCGGATCGAGGTGTTGGCATCAAGTTCTGGAAGCACTCAGGGAAAGAGGCTGGCTTGCAGGGAGGGGACATTCAGCCAGGGCTGGACACAGAGCGAGGAACCCTCAGCAGGACAGTGGCTCTGAGATGGGGGCTCCCTGGGGCAGCTCTGGGAGTCATGGGCCAACGATGGGTCTTTAGGAACCAGCATTTACAACACGGAAGAATGACCCAGATGGAGGCTGCAGTGGAAGCCCACAACCTGCCCTCTCCCTCCAGGGGGCTGGGCCCCAGGGCACCCGAGCTGGGTTCTAAACACCCCTCTTCCATGAACTAGCCCAGGAGAAGATCAAAATTCAAAATGATAACTATGGTTTCTACTGACTGGGTGTCCCTGTGACACCACTCTGAAGTCCACGAGTCCTCAGCTGAGCTACTGTTCAGCCGAGCACAGTTTCTATCACAAAACGGTCCCCACATAGAGTGCAGTCACTATCCATTACCGTACGCGGTTACAGCTTGCTCCTTGTAAAATGATTATGAACGAACGCAAGGATGTCACAAAATCATTAGATCCAAAAAGGGTTTGTAAAATTGAAACGTGTCAGCTATTGAGTTTGCCCAAGCAAACATAGAACCAAACTAAACACCTGCAAAATAGCTACAGTCTCATTTTATAAAACTAAAAAATACACAAAAATGGAAATCCAGCTCATGGTAGGCAGCATTAGCAAACACTGGAAGTCACCCTCTAGCATAAAACACATAGAATATGTATGTACATATCTGTGTGTGAATGTGACATGCACCGGCAGGTAGCTAGGTACACACACAACACACACACATTAAGGAACGGGAGTTCCTTAACGGAAGTAAGGAAAGTGAAGTCATCCAGAGAGAATCAATAGGGGTGTTGGGTTCTAGGAGCCTACGGGGCGCCAGGACCAGACGGGGGCCAGAGCTGGGCTGAAGGTACCGCTGCTGCCCAGTGGGCCCTCGAGGCCGAACCTCCTGCAAGACAGATGTGAGCGAGACCAGACAGGGCCGGGAACGCACCCCAAACAGACCCCACGGCACAGGCATCGACCAGGAGACGGCCCGAGCGAGAATGAGATTGCTATTTCACGGGACTTCCCAGGTGGCTTGGTGGTAAAGAATCTGCCTGCCAACACAGGAGATGCAAGAGACGTGGGTTTGATGTCTGGCTCAGGAAGATCCCCTGGAGTAGGAAATGGCAACCCACTCAAGTATTCTTGCCTGGAAAACCCCATGGACAGAGGAGCCTGGTGGACTACAGTTCATGGGGGTCACTGTTTCATAAATTAAAACCATTTTGGATGTTTCAACCACATAAGCTTCACTTATCTGTTAATCTTGACAGAATTTTTTTTCACTAAAATAGTATAAATGTCTTCAACATGTAAGGTTTCAAAGAGAAGCAAGCTAAACTGTTATAAGCAGACACATCAGGTGAGGCCAGCTCAGGTGATGCAGACAATCGCATGTTAATCAAGAATTAGGAACAAATCTACCTGGGTGTTTATTCATCTCTCCCCCAACTCAGAGCATCACCTCACTATGCAAATACATTATGGACTGGATATTATTTATATCTTTCACCATCAACATTTTCAATAAATTTCCTCCTTTTTACAAAGAATTCTGGATTTTATGAGGCAAAAGTAAATGTCACAAAAATATCTGACATGTTTGTCTTTTCTCACGTACAAAGTAGTTTAAAGCAAACATGGGTGTGTGTTCAAAAGAGTAAAGTATGGAAGTGAAATTCAAGTGACCCAGTCGTGCTGCTCGCCAGACAGTCTGGGGGTTCAAGGTCAGTACTTTTTCAGATAGGTGACTGTCACTATTGTCCGTCAGTCACCCATCCGCAGCCAGCTGCTGGTCAGGTGGGACCCTGGACCCGCTGCCTGCAGCTCCAAAGGTCAGAAAGTGTCCTCAGGAGGGACACCTATGACCAAGGTTTTTCCCGATATATTTGTCTGGATCCTCTGAATTCTGAGAGCAACTCTTGGCATCAGTGGTTAGAGGGGCTCAAGACAGTACAGACTGTCGAGTCTGTAATACAAACGGAGCCGTGCACGCAGCCTCCTTCAGCCGAATCACAGTTTATCATACTTAGATCTTCTTAAGTGGTTTCAGTATTGACCGATTGATTTCAAACTCATTTTATGGAAATCTTGCTGTTTAATTAGATGGCTTTTCAGTGCCTGGCAGTCCTGCTTTTCATTAATAACAAGTGCTGTCCTGGTCATCGGAGAGGCTGTTATAAGTTTTAAAAGCCTACTTCATATATAGTCGATCAAAAGCCAGAGACAGCCCATCCCAGGCTGCTGGATCCGCATGCGTGGCCGCCTCATCAATTAGGAGCAAATGGCCAAGAAAAGATGTGTTCTTAGCATCTGAGTAAATAATGGAGACGGATAAACGAAATTTACTAAATCAAGATGAAATACATTTCTGAGCCTGTGTCAGCCTTGCTCTCAATAGGAGAACGGGAATAAAATTGATCGACTGGCCACGACACGGGAGCAGAGGTCTCCATCGGAGGCGACTTATACTTTAGTTAATGGCATGTTTTCAAATCATAGTACAAGGGCAATATTATCTCCACGGCATCACCCGAGTTATTTTTTGGTTCTAGACTGGTTCCTCTCCTCTCTCTCTTTCTTCTGACAATATGCTGAACGTCAGGGTGGACTCAAATTCAAGGGTTTCTTTAATATCCCCTGAGACATCTCAAACATAATCTTTGATTGACTTAAAATAAAAAAGCAAAAATCTTGTCCTCATGTGATGCTTGGGTTCTGCACGTGTATCTCCTGAGGAGAGGTGACCGTTCCCCGTATTCACTGGTGCCTCGGCAAGGCAGCTGTGATCCCAAACACCTCGTGGATCCAAAGCTTCATGTACACTTTCCGTTTCAGTGATGACAAAACACTTTCTTTGGGATTTTTTGATGGCAAGAAAAAGAGCAAACCAGGGTGACCTTCTAAGCAACATGAGGCAGCCTGGTGCGGGCCCATGGGCTCCTGGTGTGAGTCTCTGCAAGCGCTCATGGCCGGGCACCAGGCAAGGGCTCCATGCTGGTTACTTCCTCTGTGCCCGGTTCTGGGCACCACCAGCCCCATGCTGCAGATAAGGAAACCGTTTTCCTTATGCTTTAGAAGCTGAGAACAAAGGTGCGGGAGACAGCTTTATGGCAGCAGAGACAAGAACATTCCTACAAACCAGAGCCTGAATGAGAGCTCTGGGCTGAAACTTCTGCTCTGGGCAAATGTGCTAGGTAACGTGCGGAGTCGCTGTAAATGGAGTTTGTGTCCACCAGTCACACATGTGAACTGGATGATCACTGACGATGAGCTGACCACCCCGATACCAAGGGGGAGCTGGGGATGAGTGAGAGGTTGAGGAGCTGCCCCTACAGGTGGCAGAAAGCCAAGCGTGACCAGAGGACCTGGAGGGTGGTCTGCAGACAGTCCTTTCCTCCCCCGCCCCCTGGCCCTGATTCTCTCCTAAAGGACAACCTCCCACAGACCTACCCTGTGCTCACAGCTGGTGCTTCGGCGGTGCTGGCTGGGGCCTTGTAAACAGATTCTACTCTGGGCCTCAGGCACTCCATGTGCCGCCTCAGGCACTCAGGACACCAGGCGAAGTGCCCGTCATCCCCCAGGGCCAGGCGTCTGGCCACACCCTGCAGACAGGAGACCGGGCTCAGTCCTGCCCCCGCCCCAGGAGGGAGCAGGTACTGCAGCCTTGGCGTCTGTTTGCACTTTCTGAGATTCACAAGGCTTTTGCCCTGGTTTCCATTCACTTTTCCCTTCAGCTGGATTCCTTATCTGAACCACATAACACAGAAAAGACTTGAGTAGCTGCTTCTCAAGTCCCATAAGGAGCTGTTTTCCCTGTCCGGAACTCAGCTCTCCCCGGGTGCAGAGAAGCCAGAAGTCCTGCGGTGGCCTCTGAGAGTTCTGCTGAGGGCTGGAAACATGACGACTGGCCAGCCGGCTTGCTGACCATAACCAGAGTCAGGGTCTGAGTCCAGGGAAGGAGCAAGGGAGGCTCTGGGGGAGGATGTGGCCAGCTGTCAGCACGTTTGTCTCTTTCTTAGGTCTTAAGAGCTTCGCTGTCTCACTCCCCTCACTTCACAGCAGACCTGCTTCTCAGAGGAGAGCGGGGAGACTGGGGTCCTCCTGGCAGCAGATGGTGGAGCTGGGACAGGGCCGTTCGTGGTACGCGAGGTTCATATGGGTGCAGTGTCATCCTTTAAATTCTACCATCGCGTTTGCTTTCAGGATGGTCATCATCTTCTAAGTTGGAGAGGAAGGGGGAGGGAAAGTGAGGTCCCCAAGGGTCCTGATGAAGAGGCCGCCACAGGAGCACTGGCATGTCCCCGGCCCTGTGTGCAGGGGAATGTTCTGGAAGGAAACGCGAAGGGCAGGGGAGGGTGGAGGTTATGACGTCACGATGTCAGTGCAGAAATGACCTTCACCGTCCTGTTCCTCCGTCACCGGGCAGTGCGACCTTGCATAACCTACTGAGCCTCTGAAAGTCTTAGTTTTGGGTCACAAGGATCAAAACAGCATCTCCCTCATCAAACAACGCTGCAGTTCATCCGCCCTGACGCATGCCTTCCCTCCTTCCCAATCTCTGCGTCTCTCCCGCTTTCCGTGGAGCCACCGGAGCCGACCCGCACTGGAGGGCCCTGCAGATGGGTCTGCCTTTGTTGGGATGACGGCGTAACCTCGTCACTAAATAAGACCTTCTCAGCTGCTCCGAGGGCCTAACCCAAACTCCCAACTGTTGACGACGTGTGAGGTCACACAAGTGTGAGGTGAGTTCACCCCTGACGTTAGGTGCAGAGTGAGAGCCTCGGCACACATCCTGGGACCCAAACACTTGTGCTGAAAACACCTGATGTTCTAGAAGGCAAGTGTACAAACACAGTGCCTAAGACAGAGAATTTTCTTTACATGTTATTTAAACAAAGAATACAGCTTTCCATATATGGGGATGCCTCTATTTAGAAAGGGAACTGGTGACTCAGTCAGCAAACAGTCTGTCTGCAATGCAGGAGACTTAGGTTTGATCCTGGGTGGGGAAGATCTCCTGGAGAAGGAAATGATAACCCACTCTGATATTTTTGCCTGGAGAACCCCATGGACAGAGGAGCCTGGTGGGCTACAGTCTAGGGGGTCCCAAGAGTCGGACACCACTGAGTGCCTAAACCTGTTCAGAAAACAATGTAACCCTTAACAGCTCCACTCTGGGTGGAGCCGCACTCACGCACCAAATATCAGCGAAGTGAGTCTTGGTGCCATTCTGTAATGTTGCATTAACTTCCAACAGGAAAAAGGCTAAAAGAAAGTGATCTCAACTTATCTGAACTTCATTAATCCAGACTTCAGATGAGGTCTTCTCAGAAGGTGCAGATGTAGAAAGTGAGCCATATTCAGAGGGAGAAACGTGCCCAGCTCTTCTGAGGTGGCCTGAGGGCTGCTCCCTGAGTTAACCTCAATTTGTCCAAGGGAGCTGGGAAAACTGGATGATGCCTAGAGCCTGCTCTGCACCTTGAGCTGCTGGTAGCCATGCCTATGACACCTGGACAGCAGCTAGAGTCCGAAGACCCCCAGAACTGGGGGCTAGCCCGTAGCCAGGTTGCTCGGCCATTTATTAAGCGTTTTAACCAGAGAGGAACATTAAAGGGGACTTCAGATTAGGAACACAATTGAAAAACCTCTAAGAGAGGAAATATCTTATTAATTCATTAAGTCAAACTGCTTGTATCTACATGCGTATGACTGGAATTATGGTTCATTAACTTCATTTCTTTATATGAGTTAATTAGCTCAGAGGAGGCCAGAAATTAATTACCAGCTTATATAGTTTGTGCAGAATGGCATTCTGTTTATTTAGTTTCTCCTATTAACTTTTAATCTCTTCAAACAATAAAAGAGGTAATTAGTATTTTATAAACAAAAATGAATGCAACAAAGGCAAATAATTTCCCCAATACTGAAGCTCCTGAGAGGGCCCTGATAGTTGGGTGGTTGAAGTTAGAGACCTTCTCAGCATTAAGTACATGCAGAAGGAGAAGAGGCTTGTGGGGAGCCCTGGGGTGGGCAACCATCCCATCAGGAGAGAAGGGACCCTCAGAGCTGCATCCTGGAGCCCAAAGGGAACCTTGAGAGGGCTCCCGCTGGTTGAAAAAATCACCCATGTTCTCAACTACAGTTGCTGTGTAAGCTCTCCACAGACATTCAGACACACTTACAGGAGACAAAAGGCACACAGATGAACTCTGCTTAAATGTAGGATGCTCTTAACCCTGTATTAACTATGTTGTCACTGAGATTTAAAGTCTCAGGCTGGCTTGTCTCATTACCTAGTATATATCAGTTAGTCTAGTTGCCTGAGATGTATTATAGAGTGCACAGTATCCCTAAAAAGCCAAAATGAACCCAAATTTAAGTTGTGACTTATACTGAAATTGATCTTTCCCAATAAGTAAGGATCGTTGGCATTTCATAAGAACACAGTACTTACAAAAACCAACCAGGATGGAATTTTCACTGAGATGTGTCTGCTGAATTTACAACTATTCTGTCATTTCAAAACTTCCAAGCAGATTTTCATGGTATGTATGTTGAGCCACTTTCTAGCAAGATATCTAATCAATGACAGGAGTTATTGAATCAGTGTATTTTGTTAGCATGACATTAATATTAATCAAATGTTCATTTAAAAAAAAAATTGGATCCTTAAGAGCCTCAAACCAAGGGCTCCAAGTGCACTGCCATTGAACTCCCCCCCCCCCCCCCCCCCCTCCGCCGGCAGGAGCTCCCTCCTTGGGAAGCTTCGTCAGACAAACTTGTATTAGTGGAAAATATCCTACAAGTTCTTGGAACACGCATTTCCTCTGAAATAATAATTTGAACTGAAAAGGTCTACTGTGTTCGATCTTCCCCTCTACTGAAATATGAGCATTTTTTCCGTCTCCGTAGACCAGCTTTGCTGGGTTGAACATATGTCTCCTCAATCCTGCCAGATAACGGAAGGAGAAAAAAATCAGTGTACCAAATTCTTCCGGTCTATAAATAATGTCAAAAAGAAAACTCTGACTCTATCCTTTTTCTTTTCCCTCAGAGGAACAAAAAATAAAACTGGGATTTAATAAAGAAAATTTTTAACTGAGATGTAAGGGTCTTCCCCTTTTATCCGTTGAAGAATCCCATAAGGAAAAGGTTTTCAAAGACAGTCAGTGTATGCACTGAATTCCAGAGCCAGTTGCATTAATACCTCTGGAGTGAAACACTGTATTTTTCACTGGCTATGCAGGGAGCATTACGTTCTTCATAAGAAGGGCTTGAATCATCAGAATTGATTTTAACCTGCGACAAAATAGCCTTCTTCTGCCTTGCTCTGCCCTGCACCTTCCCCGCCTTGTCTGTGATGCGACACCCTGCCATCTTCCCCTGATTAGCAGACAGGGTGGTACTTTATTGCCAGCATTAGCTTCCCAGCACAGATCCCGGGGTCTTGAGGAGGCGGGGAGCTCCCATTAGCTCACTGTCAGTAGAATTCCCAGTGGCCCAAGTGAGAGGAAGGACTTCTGAGTGGGCCGGCCCCAAACCCTTGGGGAGGGGACCCAGAGGGCACAGTGTGCAGCTTCCACAGCACAGTGCTTCCTGCGTTAAAACAGCACGAGAGCTTCACAAGTGTGTGTGTGTGTGTGTGTGTGAGAGAGAGAGAGAGAGAGAGAGAGAGAGAGAGAGAGAGAGAGGGTGCCGGTTGTGTTTGTATAAGATCCGGTCCCTCTGCAGACGAGCATCAGAGGGGAAGTGGGATGCTCACAGGTGCCTTAGGGACGCCTGCTCACACTGTGTCATCACTTTGCAGCTCAGGTCTCCCCTTCTGCTGTTTTCATGCAAGGTAGGGGCACCCCTCTGGCCTGAAGCCTCCTTCTTCCCTCTGTTCTCAGCTTTGGGACATAAAGGAATGTCTTTCTTTGTTGAAAGTCCCACATGTGTCCCCAGTTGTCTACGTCCTTCTCCTCTGCTCTTCTTTTGTGACTCATTTATTCCTCTGAAAAGATAGCCCTGTTTTCTCACTATTCCTGAAATTTATTCATCCTTAAGGTGGCTCAGACAGTAAAGAATCTGCCTGCAATGCAGGAGACCCAGGTTTGATCCCTGGGTCAGGAAGATCCTCTGGAGAAGGGAATGGCAACCCACTCCAGTATTCTTGCCTGGAGAATCCCATGGACAGAGGAGCCTGGTGGGCTACAGTCCACGGGGTCACAAAGAGTCAGACATGACTGGGCAACTAACACACACACAAGGTCACTGTGCCCGCTAACTTCAGTTCTCTGAGGGACCACGTTTCTCCTTTTTTTGTCTGGACATTCGAGACAGACAGACATCTGACAGACATCAGAGAATCAGAGATTAAAGAAAAATGAAAACAGAATTTCTCATAGAACCATCTTATGTTTGTGCAGATTTATTCCTCAGGAGAGGAGGACACTTAGTGAATAGTCACTCATTTCTGGGTTACTCCACATAGTGCCATTTTCAAAGGTGAAAACGGTTTTAACTTAAAATCTTCAGTCCAGGGGAGGTGACGAAAAATAAGGCCATGTGAAAATAGGTATATTTTAACAGGAATCCACCTGAGGCTCTGTAATTTGGGGATGAAGTCGTAAATAGATAATTTTATGTGATGATTTATGCTCTGGGATTTTTCCAAAGTCACAAATGCCCCTAGAGTATAGACTGTCTCCCAAGAAGAAAAGAGTTAAGCCATGGGGTCAAGGTTAGACCTGTCATTACTTGTGACTCAAGTAAATGAAGGAGCAACTGACAGTGAACAAGAGCAAAGAAAAAGCATCGTATGGAGCACGCTTCACCTAGTCGCTTCCAAGTGCACAGACCCCAACATAGTGTTCTAAATGAAAGTGAACAAGATGGTGTACTTCATTACACAAACATGCTGATCCATGGTGGGCATGAATGAGACTGTGTACTTCATCACACAGACACGCTGGTCCATGGTGGGTGTGAACAAGGTGGTATACTTCATTACACAGACACTGGTCCATGGTAGGTGTGAATGAGACTGTGTACTTCATTACACAGACATGCTGGTCCATGGTGGGTATGAATGAGACTGTGTACTTCATTACACAGACACTCTTGTCCATGGTGAGTGTGAATGAGATGGTGTACTTCATCACACAGACACTCTGGTCCATGGTGAGTGTGAACGAGATGGTGTACTTCATCACACAGACACGCTGGTCCATGATGAGTGTGAACGAGATGGTGTACTGGTCGTGGTGGGCTCTTGGTCAGTGCAGTTCTGCCTTAACCTTCATGTGAGATAGATTGGCCCCTCTCTGACCTCCGATCTCCCCTTTCTGCCAGGGGTCACACAGCTCATCCGGTTGTGCACCTTGGAGTCTTGAGTTTCCTTCACTGTCTTGTGAAATTATTCCTTTCAAAGACAACAGCATTCTACTCTGTAGTCAGCTTTGAGTTCTGTGCTTTTCTATTCTCTCTGCCTGTGGTCTGCAGAATGTTGGCTTTCAAAGGTGCTGTGTCTGAACCCTTGAACCTATAAACAGGTTTCATTGCAGGGTGAGGGGATTAAGGCTGCAGATGGAATTAAGCCTCTAACCAGATGACCTTCAAAAAGGGACACAGACCTGGGTTATCTGAGTGGCCCAACATAATGACAAAGGTCCTCCCTAATGTGGGGGTAGGAGGGGTCACAGTCAGAGAGATGCTGGGAAGAAGAATGGGATTCCCATGCTGGCTTTGCAGACAGAGGAGGGGGCCACAAGCCAAGGAGTGCAGGCACCTCTAGAAGCTGGAATAAGAAATGGATCCCTCCTCCCCTGCCCAGAACCTCCAGAAGGAGCCCAGGCTTTCAGAAACCTTGATGGCAACCCAGTAGACCCCCGGGGCACCTGAGCGGCAGAACTGGAAAGTATTCGATGCTTGTCACTGGAAAACACCAAGTTTGTGGTGCTGACAGAAGGGTTAGGCTATGAACACACCACCTCTGTATCAACTGCTTCTAGTTATGCTAGTACTTTTAAATCCCCTTGAGTCCATCCTGTGCATATTTAAATTAATGTTTTAAATTATGGTGTTCATATGCACTGCTCAAGGGCCTTCAGTGACCTCCCATGGGCTCTTCAATACAATGAAAATATCTTCATTATGTAAGGAGGCTCCTAATTTAATATGAACCACGTGGCTGCACTGAAAAGTCTGTTTTGTCCATAGACGTACTTCACCCTCTGTCTCACCCTCATTGGTAAGTCTCCCCAATAACTCATTGTCGAGTCCCCTTCCTATTCCAGGAGCATCTCTAACTTCTCCCACCCAAACAGGGGGCTAGTCATGCTTCCACGTGCATTTACACACTGGTAAGAAAAGCTATTCTCTGCCTGATGCTGTGAGTCCAGCAGTGGCTACTTGCTGACAATATAAAACAACCAGCTACACAACTATGGCAGCAGTTTGGAGGCTATAGAAAGAAGAAACCTGTTTTCTAGGGTCTAAGCCCCAACTGCATTGCTATTAAGAATCCTTTAGGTGCGTCAAACAGTGTAACTTCAAGTGACTGCATTTTGTGTCCTTTGGTGACCACAATTCTGAAAACATAACTATAAGCACGTGCATCTGATTTATTTTGCTCTGTTCGCCTTCACCCCACTATGTGTACATCATGGTAGACACACACGTCTGTACAGCACAGCAACAATATGTGTTTTGTATATCCAGCTAATGACCAGAGGACTCGGGCACCTTGGTGGGGCAGGACTGCCCTTCCCACAGGGAGTTGGTCCTCTTGGGTCCCCGTCAGGCACTCGGCCGTTCCTCCTCCATCCTCGGGAGGAGGGACGGCCACCAAGAATGGACCCCAGTAGGTCCCTACTGTGGGCGTGGGAAACGATCCTTCTCTTTATCCTCACACTTGACCAAGGTTATTCTCTTTATCATGCACAGATTTTATTGAGTGATGCCAAGTGAGATGAATAGGAGCAAATAATGACAGTGCTGCAGTGATGAAGTGTGGGGCCGGGGTCGCCCAGGCTTCACACGGAACAAATTGAGTCACATCTACGGCTCATCCATTATTTAGGGGTGATTGGCCAGGCTTGGCTTCTATAGATCCGATCATCATTCAGATGTCCATATTTAATATGTAACATAAATTTCTCATTTGGATGTCGATGGCTTGTCACCACACAACAACAACGCATAAAAGGAGAGGTAATGTATGGATTCTCAGAAATATTTGACATAAATAAATATGTAAAAGGGAGATAATAAAATCTGTGTCTGTCTGCCTGCCAGCGAGCCTTCATGTCAGACTGGACAGCTCCATCTAATACCGCGATTTTATGCAGCTGGATCCTATGAATATTGGCCTGCACGCTGGAGATTAAGGCACAGCAGATGTTTCTCTGCAGGCTAACAAATATATCACCCCTGATAACGGATGACAAATGTTGTTCCATATTGTGTCAGACAAAACCGGGGCTCTTGTAAAACAAGTGTTACAGCTGGAATGGGGTCTTTTAACACAGTTACCTAAGGAGAAGAAGCACAGACGCCACCCGCCCTGAGCTTCCGGCACACCCAGCGGCGGTGGCAGCCTCCCCGCCGGCCCGAGGCGGAGGTGCAGTTCAGAGGTGTTGGTAATTGAGAGCAGGCTCGGCTCCCAGGCATGCCCCCCGCCCCCCACGACCAAAGCATCCAAGTCCGAGTTTGCAGCAAGCTCCCCCTGAGTGAGTCAGCAGCGCAGTTCTTTCCACGAGGGCCAAAGAGCAGAGATGGGGGCTGCACAGGGCGAGGCGGGGAGGGTCGTGGAGGCGGGGACGCAGAGCCGCTCACACGCGCTCATCGCTCATTCCCTCCACCGGTCCCGCGGCAGTGGCTCGATTTACGAGACACGGAGAGTTAAATGTCACCGGGAGAAGACAGACAAGGCAACGCCGCCCGTTTATGAAATATGACACCAGGGTAATTAGCAAACTTCGTGGTTCCATCCTGCATCTCCTTTCGGTCACTTGGCCTTTGGATGCTGCCCTGGTGTCCTCCACCTGCCTCTTGGCTGAGTTGGGGAAATGTTGACTCCTCCCATTTTACACACTTGTTTATTAATTCTGCGTCTTTTCTGTCTATCCTTCTGGCAAAAAATAATGAATTCTGTTCTATAACCTTCACTACAGGCAGAATTCCAGGCATGTCAGCAAGGTTGGAGTTTGTCTTGACATTTTCTTCACCGCTTTCTCTGGACCATCCACCCACCACGCACGGAAGGTTGTCCTCTTCTCTTTCACCTATGAAGATGCTGAGGAGGACCTCTGGCCGTGGCCACCACCGGTCTCTTTCCAATTCCTCCGCGAGCCTCCTCCCCCTGCCCCGCTCCTCACGGAGCCCCTGCTTTCCAG